TTATATAGTAAATAAATAAAAATAACATTATCATGTTATATATATATATATTATACATTCATGTAATATAATATATTTCATTATACAATATATATTATATATTATAAAATAAAATAAACATAAAATGCACTATATTATATATTATACTATGTTTTATGTATAATATAAAAAATATGTATTTATATATTATATATTTATGTAATATAAGATACTTTCATATATATATATATTAAAAATAAATATTAAATTATATTTTATATTATAGTATGTTATAAATATTAGATATTTATATTTAAATTATTATCAATAGAAATATAAATATAAGATATTTATATTTAAATTATTATCAATAGAAATATAAATATAAGATATTTACCATATATCCTAGGAGTTATCAAACACAAAAACTATGAACTTCTTAACTTCTCAGGAAGGTTATCGAACGTAGAAATCATAAACTTCTCAAGTAACTTCTAATTTATAATTTTTTAAAAACTTTCAATTTACAGTTCATGAACTTGCTTCCGGTTATAAAACAGGGTGTTAGCTGATAGGAAGTTAGAAGAGGAAAAATGAAGTTCACCTATTACCCTTCAAGTTCTGTGTTTGATAAAAGAAAAGGAGCTTCAGATGAGAACTCCACACTACTGTTTGTCCTCCTTTTATCCTGTGTAAAAAAAGTTCCGATCCAAATGTCGCAACTTGAAATAAGAAGTTAGGTTTTGGACTTCAACCCCCGAAATGAGAAATTAAGCTTCGCTTCAGCCCCAGGATAACCCTAGCCCTCTTCGTTCCCATCTTCGCCGCTGAGCACCATGTTGCCATCTTCGCTGCTGAGTACCCTCTCTTCGCAGGACGACCCCTCTGAGCACCCTCTCTTCACCGCTGAGCACCCTAAAGCAGCATTCTCTCTACCTGAACTCAAAACTCTCTTATTGGTTGGTACAAGAAGGAGCACTCAACACTCTACTCTTCTCACCTCATTCACGCTCGGTCAAAAGCTTCCTGCCGCAACAACATCCAGCCCTCATCTCTTTTCTTCCCTTCCATTTCAGGTAGGCTTCTCCTTCTTTATTTTTATCTAGCGATTTGGTGGTTTTCTTTATTTTTTGTTTAGTTATTGTTTTCTTTTGAATTTCTATCCATAGAGCTGTAACCAGCAGCCACCATTGACTGTTCTACAGTAAAACCCTAACCCTAAATCAACGTTCTCTCTCTCCCTGAACTCAAAACTCTCTGTTGTGAGTTTCAAATCAGTCCCAAATCCCAATCTCTCACTCCCTCTCTCTCTCTCTATATATATATATTTCTCTCACCGACCATCAAACCGCCAAATCAGACCTTTAATCAGGTACTTGTTTGTTCTCTCTCTTTCTCTCTCTCTCTCTACACACGGTTATTTTTTGTTCCCGTAATTTTTAGTTTTGTTTCATTGTTTTGGTTGTTTTTTGTTGTTACTTTGTTTTTTTTTTTCATTTTCCATCTGTTTTTCTTTTCTGGGTGTTGTTTTTATGCCAAATGTGAATTTGGGTTTACAATATATTAGTTAATTTGCAACAATCAGGTATTCCCTAGTTTGCATTATGCTCTGTCGTGATGCTTTTTTTCCTCTGTTGGAAATAAATTATAATTTTGATCAAAGTCACAAACTAGTTCATATGAAATGCTGGGTTTATGATTTTTTGTTTTTGTTTGTCTCAAATTTCGTATTTTTTTTTGCTTTTGATTTGTGTCTCTACTACATGTTGCTATGATGCTTTTGGTTGTTTCTGTTTTTTTCTTTTAGTGCATTTTGTTGTCCGTTTTTTTTGTAAAAGTTGAATTGGGGTTACAATATATGAGTTAATTTTTATCCCTTTTATAAGTGCCTCTTTTATTGTGTAACAATGTGGTTTAGATGAAAATTAAGATTTATTTTATTTTGTCCATTTTATGGGGTGATTCTTTGTAATATATATTGGTTGTTATGTGGAATGGTTCCCACTTTCTAGCTTTGTGTACGTGTTTTTGTTGATAGTTGAAATCTGTGAATGTATTAATTGGATCATGTATTAAAAGTTTAAAATTTGTTTTATTCAATAAGGTCTCTGCTAATGGTGATTGTAATGAATATATAGTACCTTGTTTTGTATCTAAAGTACATATTTGTTGGGTTTTTGTGTTTTTTGAAGTTTTGGTTAAATTCCGGCCTTTTATTTTGGGTTTTTTACCATTTTCAGACCGTTGTTTTATCACATTCGGAGTTTAGGTCGTCTTTAGTGCGTAGATCCTGACCATTTGAATGATATTAGGGATTATTTGGTTGTTTAATGCAGTTGGGATTCTGTTGGGTTTTTTGGGGCATTTTCACTTGAGAGTAGTTTTTCAACTCTTTTTATCATACAATTGTAAATTGGTAAAGTTTTCGTACAACCCATATAAGCCACATTTTTTTTTTATAAACAAAACAAAAATCAGTATCATGTTAAAGTATTATTTTAACTAAAAAAAAAAAGTTATATGGCTGGTTTTAAAAATAGCAAATAATAATTATTGGTCTGTAATAGTCCACAAAGAATCAATTAAAAACATTTGATTCAAATTTACATGTAAATTTTGATTTTTCAGTAGATAATTTCTCATCTTAGGAGTTGAGGGATCTTAGGCTTTATAATTCTATGGTGAACTCTCCTCATCTACTCATGTTTCTTTAATAAGAAAAATTTTCATGTATTTTCCCTCGAGCAGCAACCTTTTTTATTCTATCGAATAGTGTCTTTTTCCTTGTGCATATCAATAATTGTACATGCCAACTATAGGTATTTTTGTTTGATTTGGTTTAAAGAAATTTCGTCATCCCCAAAATTTCATGAATGTGAGTCCAACATTGAAAGTGTGAAATCGAGGATAAGTTTTCGCGAGTGCTTTATAATACAATATTTAATGTCAATCTCTATCCTTAAGTGGTTTTAATTGTCACTGTTGGGTTGAGGTTAAATGTGGTTAACTTGTAATCGACTTCTTTGAACATTATATTGGTTTTTTTATTTGCTTCCTGCCCTCCATTGGATTTTCATTTTCCTTTGATGTTGATACTATGAGTTTGTTAAGGTTTTGGTCCAATTTTCATATCTTTGCTAGTAAAGACTCTAGAGAATTGGTTAAAAATCGTCTGAGTTGACCTCTGAACTTGACAAAGTTGATTTGGATTGGGTGGTCTTGGCCAAGTATGGATCTTTTATGTTAATTTTTTTAGGCTCATGGAATCTTATAAAACCTTGTAGGATCATATACCAAGTTGACTCAGCTTGATAGCAAGCGTTGACTCATGTAAACAAGAAATGCATGAATTATTAACATTATCCTTTTTTTCACTAAATGGTTTCATTTGTTCCAAATAATTATTTTAAATTGCTTTACTAATTTTTTTTGAAATTGCTTTGTTATAGAACTATGATGTGGGTTCATGATATCTGATATTTTTTTTTTATGATACATAGCTATGATGTGGGTTTGTTTATATCTTTTTATGCAAAGAAGAAAAGCATGAATTACCAACTTTTTCATTTTCTTCACTCGATAGTTTTATTTGTTCTAAGTATTTATTGAAATTGCGTTGCTATTTTTTTTTAAATTGCTTTGATATACAGCTATGATGTGGGTTCATGAAATCTGATTTTTTTTTTTTTGAAATTGCTTTGCAATGGATGTATGGTGTTCAATAGGATGGACCAATACACATCATCCAGCACGGCAAATGAGAATATGGGAGGGAAGAGATCCATCCAATGGGCACAGTTAGAAGATGATTACTTTATTGAACTAATGGAGAAGGACACAAGGGCTACGGGGCAGGGGGGTGGGGGGTGGGGGAGGGTTTAGAAAAAGGTGCATGGAAATGTATGGTGGATGCCATGACAAATAAATATGGGTCAAGAAACAATGAAAGTAGGTTGAAAAGCAAACATAAGTTCTTTAGGACCATGTACTTTGATATCAAGAAACCTATGAATGTATTCGGTTTCGGATGGGATGATTGTAGGAGGATAGTAACCGCCGAGGTTGTTGTTTGGAATGACTTCCTAGCGGTATGTAATTATTCATTTGCATGACTTTTAAAATGTTGATTATGTTTCAATATGAATATCACTAAACATAAATTATGGTCTTTTATATGCAGGAGAATGAATGGGCAAACAAATACCAAAACAAGACTTTGCCCGAGTATTCGATGCTGAGTAAAATCTATGAGGGTGGAACGACAGATGGGACATTCAAATCTATTGGGGGTGGCATCAGAATTGAGCCATCAGGGCCCAACATTACATTATCTGGTGACCCCCCATTAGAAGTCCAGGATGAATCTAGCTCATCCTCATCTGATGAGCTAGTATTATCTGGATAAAAAAGACGACGTCCCATACTTCGATACGAGCACATCGCCGATCAAAGCAACCCGCCCTCATTGAGTCCATGTCCTTAGCCATGACAGAGATGGCCCAGGGCTTTAAGACGCTGGCATGTGACAATCCTCCAGTAGAGTCCAAGGCTAAGAGAGATGCCTATAAAATTGTTGAAGGCATGTGGAAAGCCGGCGAAGTTGGCGGTAATGTCCTTCTAACGACTGCAAGGATCTTCCAAGATTCTACAAAGGCAGAGATGTTACTAAACTTGGAGGATCCAAGGATACAAAAGACTTACTTAGATGACGAGATGAAACACCCCCAATAGAGTTCTAATTGAATATGTTTAATTTTAACATCAAAGGCTGTTAGTTTCATTTGTAAGTGGATGATCATTTTAAAGTCAAATATTGCTTCATGGTTTGCTTTACAGATGATGATTTCTTTCATTTGTGATGGTTTTGTTTTATGGATGATGAAAGAGGAGACTTCTTTCATTTGTATGTGGATGATGTCTTTCATTTTAAGGTCAAAGATTGCTTCATGGTTTGTTTTATGGATGATAGCTTCTTTCATTTGTATGTGGATGGTTTCTTTCATTTTAATGTCAATATCGCTTCATGGTTTGCTTTATTGTTGTGGATGGTTTTTTTCATTTGTAGTTATGGATCCCCAACAGCGTTGGTTGGTGGTAATATTATGTGCTGCATATGCAACGTGTTGCATTCCATATTGGTATATCATTACCTAAACAAGGAGGCATGCTCATACTGCAAATTTTATTAGGACCAATTATGTCCAATACTTGCTGTCAGGGCACCCTTGTAAGTGCTTTGACAAGTTATGTATGGAGAAAAATACTTTTATTCGTTTATGTAATTTGTTAAAGGAGAGGACAAACATTACAAATACAAGATATTTGGCAATTGATGAACAAGTAGCCATACTCTTAAGCATTGTCATACATTATCAGCGGAATAGGGTTGTCCAAGAACGGTTCCAACATTCAGGGCAAACCATAAGTTACTTCTTGAATAGAGTTTTAAAAGTGATCTTAGAATTGGAACATTTGTTCCTGCAACCATCAAGCAATTAAACACTTGTCTGCATTGCTGGTGATACACTACGCTTTTACTGATATTTCAAAGTATGCGAGTATCAAGTATTCTATATTGTCCTTCTCACATCCATATCTTACTAATATATAAATAATGGTGATTTGTTTGTCTTAATAGGATTGTGTTGGAGTTATTGATGGGACTCATATCCCTGCTCGAGTTCGTAGTCGATTGCATAATCGTTTTCAAAACACAAAAAGGTTTTTTGAGCTAGAATGTTATGGTTGCGGTTGGTTTCAACATACGCTTCCATTATGTACTTGCCGGTTGGGAAGGATCTGCATCAGATTCTAAAGTCCTATATGATGTAATTAGTAATGGACGCAGTAGTCTTGCAGTGCCTAAAGGTAACTCCACTACATTATTTTTTGTTGCTTCTGTTTGTATAATATTTGGTAGTGTAATATCTGTCTTTATAATATACTCATTGCACAAACATGGAATAGGAAAATACTACATTGTAGATGGTGGCTATCCTATTATGCATGGTTTTATAGGACCATATTGAAGAGTCCATTACCACCTAACGAATTTAGTTAAAGCCCACGGGCTCCTCAAAATCACAAAGAGTTATTTAAAAAACGACATTCCATGCTTAGAAATGTGGTGGAGAGGACATTTGGGCTTCGGAAGGCCATATTTCCAGTAATCAGGAATCAAATGCATTATCCTATACGAACACAGGTTGATGTAGTTATTGCAAGTATAATATTGTACAACTACATCATGATGACACGAGGAGCCGATAGTAGAAGATAGCTGCGTTTTCGAAGGAGGGTTGAGAGTGAATTGGTAATTGACGGAGATGATGGTTTCTCGCAATTTACTTAAGGACAAGCTGACCATGATGATAGTGTTAGTTTGCAAGATGCCATAGCGACGCAGTTGTGGGAGTCCTACTTAAGTCACTAGAAGTTATCTGACCCATTTTTTATGTTGAAATAACACTATACATCTTTTTCTTGCAAACTATATTTGTGTTGAACTGACCTTTTATTGATTTTCAATTATGTATGTTCAAACTATGACATGTTATTGTTGAACTGCTATGTTCATTCAATTGCATTTTTAATTATGTATGTTTAACCTATTAAGGGACAAACAACAATGTTGGTTTATTGTTGAATGACTTATATTTTTTAGGTTGGGATTAGATGGATCAGTGGTGAATGTAAGTAGTGCTCAAGTTATTACAGGTGATTGTTGAATGGGCTGATTTCCATCTGGTTGTATTGTGCATGTATGTTTGAATGAGTTGATTTCTTAGTGGTTGCATTTTAATTATGTATGTTTAACTATTACAGGTTATTGTTGAATGACGTATATTTTTGAATTGTGAATGACATATATGATGTGGCTTGAGATATGGATGCGTCAATGGTGAATATAAGTAGTGCTTAAGTTATTACAAGTGGTTGTTGAATGGGCTGAATTCTTAGTGCTTGTATTGTGCTTGTGTGTTTGAATGAGTTGATTTTTTAGTGGTTGCATTTTCAATTATGTATGTTCAAAATTGGGCGGCTGGATGGTAGGGGGAGGATGAAACTTCTATGATGTAGGGAAAGTACAAAAACTTTTCCCCCAAGTTATTACAGAAAAATAATATTGCACTTTACTTTCAATTAATATTGTATTCCAAAACATAATATTCTACAAATTAATAAAAAAATAATAATATCTATGTCTCAATTTTAACATTTACATCTTGCCTATTACTAAGCTAATACAATACAGATACCCGATTCTTCTTTAACTTCCTAAGAGGTTATAAAACACATAAACCAGGAACTTCTGAACTTCATAGGAGGTTATCAAACACAGAAACCAGGAACTTCTTAACTTCCCAGAAGGTTATCAAATACAGAAACCAGGGACTTCTTAACTTCCCATGGATGTTATCAAACACAGAAACTATGAATTTCTTCAGGAACTACATAGTTATCATTTTTCAGTAACTTCCAATTTCCAGTTCATGTTCTTGATTCTAGTTATCAAACATGCACATAGAGAGAAAAAAACTTTTTATGGAGAGAAATACCATGGATGTGCCTCATGTAGATTGAGAAGTTGGATTCTTGTGGAGAAGCGGTTCTCATGAAGATTGATTTTAGGTGGTTTCCAGTGTCAAGGACTCCTCTTAGAGAGAAGAGAGCTTCATATAACGAGAAACACCATGAATGTACTTCATGTAGATTGAGAGGGGATGGGTTAATGTAGAGAAACGGTTCCCATGAAGATTTTGAGTGGTTTCCCTTTTTAGTGAGATAAAATAAAATGTCTCTTCTTGGACAATGGTCTGGTTGTAGAATAGAAATGGGTCAGAGATGGGTTTCTTCGAACTGTGGTTTAGCTTTTAGTTGTGGAACATAGATGGGTTAGAGATGAGTATATTTCTGGACAGTTGTTTAACTGTGGAATAGAGATGATAAATCGGTGGGTTGTGTTAATCAGGAGAATCGGTTTAAAAGGGCTTACTCAACTTGGTTTTGTCGAGAGTTAGAGAGGCAATTCTATATCCCAAAAATTTTGATGTAACTTTGATTGATATAGTGGATTTGAGTTTGCTGTGACCATGTACATATCCCTCTTATCTTTGATGTGACTTTCATTGGTATAGTAGATCTTTGATGTGACTTTCATTGATATATAATGGATCTTTGATGTAACTTTCATTGGTATAGGGGATTTGCTGTGCCTATGGATATAGTCCTCTTGAGGTGAACCACGTAAATCTTTTTGTTGTTGTGATGTGAACACATAAATCTTTGTGTTGGAGGTGTATAAATCTTTGTGTTGGAGGTGTACCACGTAAATCTTTATGTTTTTGTGTGTGTATTTCATGCTTTATTTTTCATATTATAGCTCGTGCTCTCTCTTATTTTTTATTTTTATTTTTTTTATAGTTGGATACGTATACTATCTTGGTAGGATCCAACTTTTGTGATATTTGTTTCTGCATTTAAAAAGATTTTTAAATCTTAACTAACGATTAGTGTTCGTAAAATCGAACTGGAACGGTTAACCGGACATGCGCCTGGAAGTAGTTTAACCGGCCTAACCAGTAAACCGGCCGATTCCACCGCTCTAACTGGGCAAGTCCTACGCGGTAAAAAAAGTGTTGAAAAAAATTTAAAAAAAATACAAAAAAAAAATCTACTAAAATATGAAAATGATATAAAGAATGATTAAAACAAAACACATTCAAATGAACTTTAAAATTAATGAAAAAATGGGTTTTAACCCATTTTATATTTTCCAAGTGCTATTTTTAAATTTTTTTAAAAAAGATGAAAAAATATAAAAGTGAGTATTAATGATCAAAATGATTTTTAATGTTTACCATAAGGTAAAGAATATTTAAAAATACATTACAAATCAAATTCGTTATTTTTGTGAATTTATATATATTTTTTTAAATATTTGTTTAAAAACATCGATTGATCATCTTAATCGGTCCAAACCAAACCGTGGATCTAATTTGGAAGTAAGCGGTTAAGAACGGACGATTTTGCAAACAATGCTATCGAATCGATTGTAAAACGCTTTATCACGCCTAGAGAGCTTCCGACTGACGCTAGCATTATTTATGACGCTCCATTTAACGCCTCAAAACACGCACCTCGAGAAACCTTACGCTTTCGTTAAGACGCCCCATGTTACGCCTCGAAACCCCCACCCCTCTTTATACAGGGGAACAAACTGCAGTCCAGATCATGTTGTTGGTGAAAATAGGCAGAACGCTGGTCGGGCTCACAGCAATCATCGGGGCCGTTGCTTAATGGAGCAACCTTCCAACAAGGATATTTGTAGGTTTCAGATGTTTTGTTCAACATTTAATCAGTGGAAGAGAGAGGAGAGACATATTCCATCATTATTTTTTGCGCTTCCAGAGAGAAAGCGATCCATCACAATTTTGCAAAGATATCTCGACGTCAAAAACTTATGGGCTCATGGGTACAGGTCGGGTCCAGATCTTAAACCAACATCCTGGTTAGGATACGCGTCTGCAGCATTCTGGAACCGTCGGGTCCGATTCCATCACGTGCTATTCGGGTCCAGGTCTAGGTCCAACAGGACCAGATATATCTGACCCGTTGTCACCCCTACTGGTGGGGGGTTCACCATGAGAGGTGGACGTCAGCCTTTACGTGCATTTTGCTTGTGAGCCGCCACTTGAAAATCGATCAACTCCAAGCATCATGTCAATTTTAATGAGAAATAAAACTATTAAGAGACCGTTAAAAAGAAGTTTATTTTAACTTTTCCCTACTTTGATAGGTTTCTAAGACGCAGACATTGCTTAAGTGTAATACGAGTATTGTATTTTAGTGCCTCTTTTCCCAATTTCTAGCTATGAATAGTTTGTCCCACTAAATTATTCTGCACCTGACACCTAAACTAAATATATAGAAGGTCACTCCTTTATTTTATTACGATG